GCAGTTCTCTGCTGATGTGCTGTTCTAATCGTTTTTGGATGATCTTCAGTAGAATCTTGCGTGCATGTGAAATCAATGACACTGTTCTGTAGTTTGAATTTATTTAGCAGGCTCAGGCCTAGACCTTTTATAAAGAAGCCCTAGTGGTGCCGTGGTAAAATAGCTGACCTCTACCTGAAAGATCTTTACCTTTTAGCTACTCCTCAGGGTAATGATATGACTCTGCTTCCACAGTTTTCACAATTTTGGAAATCCCTTGGGGCAGTTGGATGTGCCCTGTAGAGCTGCTGTGAGTGGAAATTGACTGGAGATGGCCGGTTTGGTTTAAGTGTGGTGATGTCCCTTATAAATGAGTCCTGTCACCCTTATCAGATGTGTTCTGCTTAGGACATGCCTGTGAGCAGTACCCGACAGTGCCATTTTAGAAACGTTTGAGATGCACTATTTTATATACTAAAGAGAGAGAAATTTAAATGATCTATGTTTTCTTTTACAGATCTGAAGAAGACTTTGGCTGTGTTACTGGATAACATTTTGCAGCGCATTGGCAAGTTGGAGTCGAAGGTGGACAATCTCGTAATCAATGGCACAGGAACAAACCTGACCAACACCACCACAGCTGTGCCCAGCCTGGGCGTGCTTGAGAAAATGAATGTGGCAGGTGAGATGGCAAGTCTGTGCCCTTTCGTGGAGTCAAACTGCACCTTGGAAAAATGGAAAGGAACCGACAATAGTTTGTTATTGTTGTTGTTATTTTTCATCGAGTCACCTGCAACTTACAGTGACCCTATGCAAAACAGCTCTGAAACCTCCCTGTCCTGAGCCAGTCTGACTCTGACCCACCTACCCCATAACCCCAATAACCCCAATTACTGTGTCAATTCAACACATCCAGGGTCTTCCTTATTAGTAAGATATAAATCTGGTAAGATTGGTATAACTATAAAGCTAAATTTAAATTTACTTTCAAATAACATGTTAAAATATTTTTATGGTCTCATCATGATGTGCAGTAGTTGTTGGTTTCTAGGATGCACTTATCCATAACAAGCTTCTGAAATGACTTTTGGTGAGATAATTCATAAAGTTTGGACAAAGGAAGTACAGAGATTATGCAGATCATATAACAGAGTTCCTTCATTCTTTCTACTTCTATTAAACAGTTTCAAACTTGGGTGATATTTAATGTTTCTCTGTTCTTCTTGTTTGTATAAAGAGGTGGAGTTTGTGGAGGTGGCTATATCTAACCTTTACCAACTCACAAAGAAGAACTGTCCCCATCAATAGCATCAACAACATAAAAGCAATTCCCTTGAGGTTAGACATATTCTCTTTTTTTATTTTATTAAATTTTATTAGTTTTAATGAACATTTACAGGGATTTTGGGTTTTCATTCCTTCATTGCTGCACCATTCTCTCTACCCTCCTCCCCAGTTTGTTCTTCTTCCCCACCATCCGAATGTCTGTTTTAATTGTCCAATTCCCACAGTGCTTGTCAAAGTCAGTTCTGATTAATCTCCTTTGTCAGTGTGTCCTTTGCCATTCCCTATCACTCCTCCCTGAGAGAGACTTCACCCTGATTCATAAGGAAAAGGGGATGGCGTATTGTCTTAGCTACTTCCTGCTGAAAAGGGATGCTGTGGGTTTCAGGGTGAAGATCTTCTCTCACTACTCTGAAGGGCCCCTTTGGCAGTAGGAAACACATAGACTATTATGGAGATTGATTTTGGAATTTAGATGCACTGTTATTAATTGTGCTTAGCCGTACATGTTCATATCCCTGAAGATGTATCATGGGGGGGTTGCAACCTAGAAGACACAAATTTAACTAACAAGTTATAAGTACATGAGTCAAAAATTATGGAAAAGTAAAAGAAAAGATTCTTTCATTGTTTTACAAACCCTCCCCCAGGTCCCCTCCACCGTGTAGCCCTGCTTCTGTACCTCTTTTTTCCTCATCTTAACACCTGTCTTACCGCTTTACTGGGTCCATAATCTGATACAGAAGCTCACAAGCCACACCAAACTATATTTGGGAAGTGAAAAGACCATAATTCAGGTTCATAGCAGAATACAGTCAGGACAACTTCCGAAATGTACTTCTAGGCATCTCAGCCTCGAGCCTCGCATCTTTAGGCCAGTGTTACAAAGTTCTCAGTCCTACCAGTTGTGGCTCTCTCCTCCACAATCCTCTGATAAACTTGAGCAAAAGCCTCTTAGCTCTGGTCTGGTCGTGTAAAAGTCACAAGATCCACTCTGTCTCATTTCAGGTCTCTGGTTTTCTGTTGTGGCTGGTATGGCTGTTGCGCCCATAGGCCCTAGTCTCTGGCACAGGAGTCCTTGGTCCTGAAGGAAGTATTACATTCATTTGCTTCTTCTTTGCTGGCAGTGAGGCTTCTCCTTTGCTGCTACTGGATCCACCTCAATTTAATGGCATGGCAAACCAATCCTCTTGTGAATCAACTCACGCACCCTGTTTATATATTCCTGCTCATCCACACTGCAAAGTCAAATTCAATGCCTGGGAATGCCATTTGAACACTAAGCCCTTAGTGCTACATTGTTAAAGAAGATGCACTTTTGCAGAAAATGCCTGTACTAGCTTCCATTGAATTGACTGCCACTCACAGCGACTCCAGAAGTATTAGAGCAGAATTGTGCTCCATAGCTTTTGGTTGACTTTTGATAAGTAGATCACCAGGGCTTTCTAACAAGATTCCTCTGAGTAGACTTGAACCTTCAGTCTTTGGATTAGCAACCAAATGAGCTAACCATTTGTACTAACCAGAGACTTCTATATGTATGTAGAGAAATATTAATTCTGGCAGTGCTGTTTAGGAAATAAAATTATCTCTGTTCAATCTTAGTTCAAATTCATAGTTACTCAAGGACAGCCTCATACTGTCCTATTTATGAGGAATTTTTGTATACTTTCTCTTTTTTATCTTTTTAAAAAAATTTCTACTAGTTTATTTATAAAATTCTAATAAATTGTTTTCAAGAACAAATTCTTTCCATTTCCCTCACCCCCCAATCCATCAAGTTGTACAACCCCATGATTAATCACCTCCTTCCCTTGCATATCCTTATATCTCTACTTCCAACCTCTCCTACCCCTCTTGAATCCTTATACTCATTCTACGATAATGGATTTATGCAATATTTATCCTTGTGGGACTGAGTTAGTTCACTCATCATAATGCTCTCACGTCCCTCCCAAGTTAGGTAATAATTTACAGAATCATTGCTCCTACATGCTGCATAGTATTCCATTGTGTGAATGTACCATGATTACTCTGTCCATTCATTTGTGGTTGGACATTTAGGCTGTTTGCGTGTTCTTGTGATGGTGAATAATGCTGTTACAAACATTGGTGTAAAAATCTACATTTGTGCCTCACTGGCAATAAGAGGGATGCAAATCAAAACCACAGTAAAGTACCATCTCACGCCAGTAACACTGGCAAAGTTTAACAGGGAAGCAAGTAATAAATGTTGGAGAGGATGTGGCAAGAAAGCAATAGTTGATGGGATTGTAAAATGATACAACTATTCTGGAAGGCCGTTTTGTACTTCCTCAAAAAGCTGTACATAGAAATTCCGTATGACGTAGCTATTCCACTACTTGGAATATAACCTGAGAAAATGAGAATTTAGGTACACTTTCTTTTTGAAACTGGAATCATAGACAAGAGGAGAAAAATGGGTGAAACACAAACATCAAAACATTTACAGCTCACATGGAACCCCAACTGCACTGTCTATGGACAGAAACATAGGTCTTTGTGGTTGAGTCAGGACTCACCATTAGAGTGGTTTTTGTTATATGCCATCGAGTTGCTTGTGACTCATAGCAACCCTGTGTACAACAGCTCTGAACCCTGCTCTATCTTGAACCAAACTCATGGTCTCTGAAACACCTACCCCCATTAACCCCAGTCACTGAGTCAGTCCATCTCATCCAGGCTCTTCATCTCCTGTGCTGTCCTTGCCCAAATTATGTCAGACAAAGCTTCAAAATCCTTGCCTCCAAGGAGCAGCCTCTCCAGGACAAATCTGTTTGGGCTCCTTAGCAGTCCACGGTATATTCAGTACACTTCTCCAGCACCACAACTCAAAGGCATCAATCCTCCTCTGTCATCCCTAGTCATTGTCCATCTGATGCATAGCGAGTAATTGCGAAGACCCTGGCCAGAATCAGGCATACTTTAGACTCTAGACTGACATCATTGTTCCTCTGTACTCTGGAGATGTCTCTAACAGCACACTTTCCCAATGCAGTTCATCTTTTGATTTCCTGGCTGCTGGTACTGAGAGTGTTGATTATGGAACCAGGCAAACTGAAGGTGTTAACACTCTTCACTGTCTGTCATAATGCTGCCAGTTGGCCCAGTGGTGAGAATTTAGGGAAACAGCTGTCATTTCCTGAGCAGGACATAGGACAAAGTGTTGAGTTTAGGTACTTCTGGGTAAATGGCATGACTGTGCTTAGTTCTAGTAGCTGATATCCAGATTCTAATGGATGAAGTAAGAAGTTGGGTTACTTTTGGAATTTCCAGAATCTAGGTTAGTACACTTTTTGTCTTGTTTGTCATTCCCTCTTTCTTACACAAATGCACAGATTTAGGTGGGAGAGGTTTTTTTTGTTTCCCACCTCCTGGTGTCAAAACATTTAATTGCTTCACATTAAACAAACTTCTTGTGTGTGTGTGTGTGTGTGTGTGTGTGTGTGTGTGTGTGATATCCTTTGCCCTTAAGCAAGTTGGAAATTACAAAATATATTTCAGATAATACAAAGTATCTAACCAAACAAAAGTATTAAAAATAACTTTTTAATTATAGCACAGATGCAGTGTCATCTAGGCCATAAATCCCGTTTTCCCTGCAGTTTCCAGCAGCTTCTGTAATTAGACAAGAACGCCTCCCACAGAGTTGAGTTGCTTATTAATAAATGGAACCCAGGCCTCTGCAGTTTTGCTCCACAACCCCTGTCCCCCAGTAGCAAATACAGTTGGAAAGGCTCCATCCAATTGTACAATGGTTCTGCATGATCCTGTTGCCCGAGGTGGGGTGTTGTGCCTTCAGCTTTGTCCCCACACAGTCCCTTTGTCCTGTAGTTTGCTGTTGTTGGTTACCATTGGTTTCTACTCATTGTGACCCTAAGTGTGCAGAATAGAACTGGTCTATAGCATTTTTAAAGATGGGCCCGCCAATTCAAAAGCACGTTGCCTGTCGTCTTTGGGTGTGTTCAAACCCACAGCATTTTAGTAGTATTGAGCATGTAACCATTTGCACAGCCCAACTGCTCAAGTGTCCAGGGAAGCATTCCTGAGGTCATTGTCATGTCCTTTGGCTTCCTCATGGTTTTCCCACCTGGACTCTAAGTCTCAGGGCAAAGGATCCTGGATGCACCTCAAGGATGGAATGGGAGGGAGCTGATGACCACTTCTTTGGAATGGGATCCTTGCCCAGCCCTGTGTTGAGCTGATTACTCAGTAAAACAAATAGGTCTTGAGCACATTTGCTAGGTCATTGGCCTGAGTGGAGCGCCATTAGATGTTCCATTGTTGTTGTTTTTAGCTGTCAGCTTGTTAATCCCCTGTTCATAATGATGTGTCAGGGTCGGATCTTTGTGACAGCTATGATGTTCACTGGCTCAT